CATCGGGTGCTTGGCGACCTGGGATGAAACTCACTTGATCTGGGTGAATTAGGGTGGGGAGGTAGGGGAGAATTCTTCAGGATATAATCTTCGCGTATAGTTTTATGTCGGTATTGATTATCGAAATTGGCCTGTAGTTTTGGACGACTTGGGGGTCTTTGCCTGCTTTTGGTATAGTCGGTATGATGAATTGCAACATGTCTTTGAGGAATGAGCCTGTGGTGGCAGCGTGATTGAAGAGTTTGGTCAGGTGTGGTCATAATTCTGTGGAAAGGTGTTTATAGTATTCGTTAGTGTATCCATCATTTCCTGGTTATTTAATTGGGAGTGTTTTAATGGATGTTTCTATTTCTTTGGGTGATATTGGGGTAGAAGTTGGTCTGAGGAGGAGGAGTTGAGGGAGATTGGTCATTTGGAAAAATTGTTGTATGGATGTGATTGTTGGTTGAATGGTGTCAGGGTCATTTTTAAGGTTGTATAGATTTTGGTAGTATACTGCAAAAGGCATTCGCTATGTCTTGCGGGTTTGTGTTTAGGGTATTCATAGATGGGTGTTTAATTGAGGCTATTTTGGATTTCAGCCGTTTTTGTTTTAATGATTTGGCTAGCAAAGAGCTGGCTTTGTTACCTAGTGAATAGAATTTTGCTTTAATTTTTTGGAGATTTAGATCATATTTGTGGAGTAGAAGGGATCTTAATTTATTTCTATCTGCTGTCAGGGATGCAGAGATTGTTGGGTCTTGGGATTTTTTGTTTCTTTCCTCGTTTGTTTTGCTTGAGGTTAAGAGATTATCTATTTGTTGGATTCTGTTTTTGTTGACGTGAGCATTTAGTTGTATCTGAATACCTCTCATGTATGCTTTGTAAGTTGACCACAGAGTGGTTATGGATATATCAAGAGTATCGTTAAATTCAAAGAATGTTCTGTGTGCATCTATTATTTGTTGCTTGCAGTCTTGGTTTTTCAGCAAGATCGTGTTCAATCGCCATAAACGGGGTATCAACGAATGTTGTTTGCTGTCAAGAGAGATTGTGATCGGAGCATGGTCTGACCAAGTAATGGTACCAATCTTGGAGGAGGTGACGTGTTGTAGAGTCCATTTATTGATAATGAAGAAGTCGATTCTAGAATAGGATGAGTGGGATGGAGAATAGTAGGTATAGTCCTTTTCTGTCCAGATGTCATAGAGATCGTTGGAATGAAGAAATTGGTTGAAGGATTGTTTTGAAGATCTTGTTTTGGATGATTTGTCGAGAAGAGGGTTCCCGATAGTGTTAAAGTCTCCGCCAATGAATAGTTTGCCTTTTCTGTGTTGATTTATGGTGGAGTTAAGTTTGTTGAAGAATTGGAGTTGATTGGTGTTAGGACCATAGATGTTCACCAATGTATATGTAGTATCATTGATTTTGCAGATCAATATGTGGTAGGGACCTTGTGAGTCCGCTGTTGCCGAAATAAATTGGAATCGCAGGGAGTCTCTTATGGCTGTAATGATGCTGTTTTTTTTTTTAGGATTCGTTGCCATATATACTGTGGAGAACTGAGGAATATTGAATTAGGGGTTTTGGATGAGGCGAAATGGGTCTCCTGTAGGATTACGATGTCAGGTTGAATGGAGCGGACTTCTCTCGAGAGCAGGGACCTTTTGAAGGGGGAGTTGAGACCTCGGACATTTAGCGAAGATATAGTAATCATTTTGTTGATTGTAGATGGTTTGAATTCCATAGCTGTGGTGATTCAGATGCTTTGGAGAGAAGTGGTTTTCCGAATGGCGGAGGTGATGGACCGTCAAGTGTGCGGCTTTGTGAGCATGGGTTTATTATTTTTGTGGATTGAGAGTTCAATTGTGTTGAGGGAGTTGTTGAGAGGGGCAGTTCTAGTGACTGATGACTGGTAGCTTGGGGTATGAACAAGGGTAAAAACAGGGGTAAAAAAAGACTTGCAAACAACGCAAGTAGCATGTGTAGCAGTATCTGCTACTGTGTATAATGGAGCCATGAGAAAGCATGACTCTTTCGAGAGCTCGTGCTTGAGACGAACTTGGACAATCAATATGTTCGATCAAGGGCCAATTGCCAGCTTATGTGTTAGAGAGTGGTACCCAGGGAATTGGGCCTGAACGTAATATGCTTGAGTGGAGGCTATGACCAATCTGCTTCCATCTGTTGCGGCCGGTTGGATGCTGGTTGATGGAAATCTGCTGGTATGATGCTCCACGATTTTAATAATTTGATGCCTGCTTCTAGGGATTTAATTGTGTAAATTCTGCCTTGGTATTTGACATTTACTTTCGTAGGGAAGCCCCATTGATATTTTATGTTATGATTCCTTGATGCTTTGGTTATACTGATGAACTTCTTACGGTTGGAGAGAGTGGCTTTGGATAGGTCTGCAAACAATTTAATGTTTGCTTGGACTGGAGGAATGGAGGTCGAATTTCTTGTTGGAATCATTATTTTTTCCTTCACGTGGTAAAAATGTATGCGTGCCAATATATCTCTGGGGACCATCGCAGGTAGAAATGATGGTTTGGGGATTCGATGTGCTCGATCTATAGCCGATTCCACGTCAGTGAGGGTGGGGATGAGATTTTTCATATATTGTTGTATATATGAGACTATGGCGTCTGTGGTGATGGATTCTGGGATCCACGGAATTTAATGTTGTTTCGCCTGGAGCGATCTTCTAAGTCTGCCAGTTTAAGATTGATTTGTTTGATGTCTGTCTCATGGTCTGTGTGTGCATCTATAAGGTCATTATGTGCGGTACACATTTCCCCTAGTTTGTTCTCGATATGGCGGATGCGTTTTTCTTGATTTTGGACCGTATTTGAAATTTGGAATAATGATGCCGTCAGGTCATTATGTAGTATCGCAGAGAAAGGAGCATGTTCTTCATGGAAATCTCTTTCCTCATCATTTAACTTGTAATGTCATTAAAGGATACCAGAGGATGTCTGTATTTAGTCTATTTTAGGCCCTAGGGCAAAAGTTACCAGTCAGTCCCTGTAACTGAGGCATAGTAAACTGTGATTACTATACTTCAGCTTATGAATGAACAGGAAGCTCTGTACAGAGCTACTCCTGTCCATTCATTCTGTGCTTCTGAGGCTGTGTCCTCAATCTCTTTTCTCTGTCTCAAATGTGAGATGTCAGGGGTCTGTTTTGACCCCTGATGTCTCACCAAAGCCCCCAACAGGGCTCCTAAAATTTATTTTTTAAAATAATAAATAATAAAATTGTAAAAAAAAATAAATAGAATGGTAAAAATTAATAAAAATATTAAATAAAATGACAGTCCTTGACCTACGTGCTTAGATAAAGGACTGGTTGGAATTTTAGGAGGAACACCACACATTTTTTCCCCTTTTTTATTGTTATTTTTAGAAGACTACATCATACTGGTTAAAAGTATTTGTGTATTTTCAATGTTACCCAAGCATTAAAAATGCATTTTTTGCACTGGTATCTATTTCTTATGGTAGTGAACAGCTCTCTATGCCCTACAATCTTATACCCACGGTTAATGTCCACAGCCACCTCTTTGTCTAAGGTCTTGCTTACCTCCTCATGAAAAGAAATCAGATTTGTTTGACAACTTCTGTCTTTCTGTTGCTTAAAATATTTTTCTTCCTCATCTACGTGTTTTTTTTACCTTTTTGTATTCTATTCATGAAGGTAAAAAACCTTCTGTGTGCAGCAGCCCCTCCAGCCCCCCCCCCTCCTTAATACTTACCTGAGCCCTTTTTGATCCAGCAAAGTTCTCGAAAGCCTCTGCTGTCTGGGGACTCTTCCTCCTCATGTGCTGAGATAGCAGCTGGAGCCAATTGGTTCTCGCTGCTGTCAATCACAGCCAGTGAGCCAATGAGCAGAGAGCAGGCGGGGGGGGGGGCAGTGCAGAGCCATGGCTCTGTATATTATGGATGTATAGAGTGGTGGCTTGGGGAGGAGTACGAAGTGGTGCCCCCAGGGTGAGCAGCTTTTACTAGGGGCACTGCTCCAGAGGGAGGAGCCAGGAGCGCTGCCGTGGACCTGAAAAAAAGAGGACCGGGGCTGCTCTGTGCAATACCACTGCACAGAGCAGGTACGTATCTATGCTATCTATCCATTCAGTCGTATCCAACCCTTGGCGATTGCATGGACCGTCACTCGTAAGTGACTTTTCCCATGAATTCTCTTAGCAATTATTTTTTACAGGTTTGGTTGCCAGGTCTTTCCCCAACCCCTACCATGCAGGAGATCCCGCATGGCCAGGGTTGAAACTAGACAGGAGCCAATTAACCTACCAGCATGTCTTTGGAGTGTGGGAGGAAACCGGAGTACCCAGAGGAAACCCACACGAACAGAGGGAGAACATGCAAACTCCATGCAGGAGGCGCCATGGTTTGGAATCAAACCCATGACCCAATTACTGCAAGGCAAAAGTGCTAACCACTAAGCCACTGTGTCGCCCTCAGGTAAGTATAGACATGTTTATTATTGAAAAAAAGCTTTAGTGTCACTTTAAACTAACAGTAGTTACTTGGTAAAGTCTTTGATCCCTTTTTAAACATAGGCACCACGTTGGCTCTACACCAATCCAGTAGTACTATGTTAGTCTTTAACCGCTAGCCTACAGGTCACTTATACCCCCTTCTTGCCCAGGTCAATTTCCAGCTTTCAGCGCTGTCACACTTTGAATGACAATTGCGTGGTCATGCAACATTGTACCCATATGACATTTTTATCAGACAGATAGAGCTTTCTTTTGGTGGTATTTAATCACCTCTGGGATTTTTATTTTTTCTTAAACAAACCAAAAACCACTGAAAATTTTGAAAAAAAAAGTTTTTCTTAGTTTTTGTTATACAATTTTGTAAATAAGTGATTTTTCTCCTTCAGTGATGTGCGCTAATGAGGCTGCAGTGATGGGCACTGATAGCCTGCACTGATGGACACTGATAGGTGGCACTGATGGGCACTGATGAGGAGGCACTGGTAGGTTGCACTGATGGGCATTGACAGGCATCACTGATGGGCACTGAAAGGCAGCACTGATACATGACACTGATAGGTGGCACTGATGAGCACTGATAGGCAGCACTGACTGGCACTGTTAGGCAGCACTGACTGGCACTGTTAGGTGGCACTGACTGGCACTGATAGGCGGCACTGACTGGCACTGATAGGCGGCACTGACTGGCATTGGCGACACTGACTGGCACTGATAGGTGGCACTGACACTGATTGGCATTGATAGGTGGCACTGACTGGCACTGATGGGTGACATTGAAAGGCAGCTCAGATGGGCACTGATATGTGGCATTGATGTGCACTGGTATGCACTGATATGTGGCATTGATGTGGCAATGATGGGCACTGGCACGTGGCACTGATGGGCACTGGCACTGATGAACACTGACAGGTGGCACTTCTGGGGCCACACTGATCATCAAGGCACACTGATCATCAGTGCCCATATGATCAGTGTACATGTCCCCTCCGCGGAAAGCCAATTACTGGCTCTCCTCTCCTCTCGAGCTGTCAGCGTGACAGCTCGAGAGGAGAGAAATGGTGATAGCCGGCATTTCCGTGTTTACATGTGATCATCTGTGATTGGACACAGCTGATCACATGACTGAGCCGACATCTTTGGCTCTTTCTGTGATCCGCTGTGTCCCAGTAAACGAATTAATTAACACGTACTGGGATTTTTTTTAGCAAAGTCATGCAGCAGAATACATTTTGGCCTAAAGGTATGATGAAATTTGATTTTTAAAATTTTTGTACTGGACATATTTAATAGCAAAAAGTCAAAAATATTGTTTTTTTCTCAAAATTATTGGTCTTTTTTTTATAGTGCAAAAAATAAAAAATGCACAGGTGATCAAATACCACCAAAAGAAAGCACAATTTGTGGGGAAAAAAAGGATGTACATTTTATTTGGGTGCAGCGTTGCATGACTGCACAATTGTCAGTTAAAGTAATGCAGCACCGTAATGCAAAAAATGGCCTATAAGGAAGGGGGGGTAAATCCTCAGGAGGGCAAGTATGGTTTTTGTAGTGCTTTTTCTGTAATGGCTTGTGTGGTGCCCTGCCCATGAGCACCTTACCTTTGCTAGTTATAAATGTATCTAAGCAATTGACATATTCGCTTTGTAGATTTTGGTGCAGATACACACTGGAGGTCTTCAGCTGTATTTACTCAATGTTTGGCTTCTAGTGTGTTTCTGTATCTTCAAAGAGGATGTTGCTACCTTGGAGGTGTGCCTACTTTTGGTGTATTAATTGCTATATGGGGTTGATTTACGAAAGGCAAATAGGCTGTTGACTTTGCAATGGAAGTTGCACTTCTTAAGAGAATTTGCCTCACAACTTTATAAATGTAGTAAAGTTTCACTTTGCAAAAAATACCCAATCACATGCAAGAAAAATAATAAAAACAGCATTATTTGGAGTACAGAACACCCCCAAAAATCTAATTTATTGCTTGTTACTTTGCAAGGGAATTTTCTCTTAGCTTAGTGAATGTGGTGAAAATACTTTGTGTTAAGAATACCCAATCATGTGCAAAGAAAATAAAAGAATCAGCATTTATGTTTACACATGATCGAATGATGTACTGAATTCCATCATCCAATCATGTGCAAACATAAATACTGATCATTTAGCTTTCATTTTCTTTGCACATGATTGGGTATTCTTAAGAAAATGGATTCACCACATTCACTAAGCATAGGGAGCTTTGCCTCATCCACTAACCTTTTAAGGGCAAATTCCCTGCAAAGTGCAACCTCCATTGCAAAGTGAACAGACTGTTTGCCTTTAGTAAATCAATCCCTATGTCTCAGGTTGGAAGCTAAGAGGAGGCAGACTTTGCAGATGGGCCTTGTTATGACAGCATGGCTTCATATATTTTTGCAAAGGTATGCATTGACCCATATAGTTATACATTGGTCTACGCACTTGCCATTTTTACCTTCTTCTAATACTCTTCTATCTAAAATAAAAACAAAAAAAATTGGCTTGATTTAGTTGGCTAATTTAGGGTTAGTTCACCTTTAGCAAAAAAAAACAAAACAACAACTAGCTATACAGGTTAGGGGAGTCTGTAGATAAAAACAAATTGTGCAGCTCTGAATAAATTTGAATAAAGATCTTGGTATAGGTTTTGGCCATTTAAGTACCTCATGAAGCTTGACTGGAATACTTCTAGGATGTTGATAAGAGAGGTCTAGCTGTTAATGGTCACCTTCACCATCACATGAGTGAGCTCTTTCTCTGATTCAAAGCCTCTCACAAGCTTTTTCTCTCTGAATGCAGTAGCTATATGGCAATGCTATAGCATTGCTATATGGAAGGCTTTGGCCGAAACGCATTAGCTTTTATGGATTTTGTATTTGCTATTGTGTGCCAGTAAGGATTCTTTATAAGGATGTGACCGAGTTGCCGGCTATATTTCTACATATCTTGTAGTGAATGTTCCAGCCTGAGCACTGGATTTCCACTCTCATTCCTCTCACATAGCAGTAGAGCTTGGGTGAGTTTTTTCTTGATTTTACCAAAAACCTGCCTATGCAGGTATAGGGTGTCTGTAGATAAAAACAAACTGTGCAGCTCTGACCAAAGTTGAATAATTCCCTTGCTATAGGTGTAGGCTATTAATGTACCTCATGAAGCCTGACCGTAATACTCCCAGGACATTGCTAAGAGAGGGTAGTCATTATGTCGCACATAATGACTTTGGCCAAAACACGTTAGCTTTTATGGATTTTATATCTCCTATTGTGTGCTAATAAAGATTCTTTCTGAATAAGTGACCAAGTTGTGGGCTATATTCTACATATCTTGAAGTTTTTTTGGTAAAGGTGAACCAACCATTTAAACTAAAAGGAAAGCACAGCTTACTTTTAAAATGCTGGAGGAACAGAAAGCCAGGGCTGCTGACTATGGCAACCCAATATATTTCCATTTCTAAATGACGTGTATTTGCCCCCCAGTATCAATAATGATGATAATAACAGCAACAAAAGGTGAACATAACAAAAAAGAAAGATAAAGAGAAGAATTAATCCATTCAGCCTACTAGTTGCAGCGCTGATTAAACTAAACTTTACCAGCAAGCCTATTGGTGAGCAATCAATCAGTTTTGCAACTGCTTTTAAGCAGGACTGGTTATAGATGGATTGAAATTCAGGGGTCCCTGCTGAACCAGACAAATTTCAAACCATCTATGGCCAGTTAAAGTATATTAACAAATTTGGGTAACAACTACTTCATATTTTTTACATGTTCCAATTAGTATGGCATAACTTAAAAAAAAATGTTGGTTACCATTTTAATTGCTTTTTACTTGTCTAAAAATCCTTACATGCTTTCTCTGCTTTGAAATGAAAAGGATTAATGAATCCTGTCTGTACTGTGTTCCCAGTTTTTAATTATCAGATGTACACTAGATTTGAACACTGTGTCATAAAAAAAGGTTTAAATCTTGAAACTACTCTCCAGCATTGCATATTAATGAGCTATAGCTCTGTGTGAGGACAGGACACTGTAAGACTGTTTAGAATGTATAGCCATGACACCTCCTCCCTAGAAACATCTAAGAGGCAAGAGTTCTTTTTTTAAATTTTCTAGGTATGATGTGTGAATGAGAACACATAACAGACATATAGTGGGGTTTAATCAAATTTGACTGCAAAAGGAGAAATTCTCTTTACCACATCCCACCCGGCCTACAGAAAATTGATGGCCAGGCGGGACTTTCATCCTTTTGGTTGGGCGTCATATGACATCCTCCTGGAACAAGCCTCACGTGGCCCTGCGGCCACTCTATGGGTGCGTTCTCTCCACTGGCTGGAAATTTAAAAAAAAAAAAAAAACTGTCACTAGTCGGTGTCCCTGATCACTGTCACACCAGGTACAGTATATGATGATGCTGTACTGCACTGGTGAGAGTATGTAAAACTACGGTAAATTTGTGCAAAATTCACAATGCCTCTTACTAAATACCTTTGACTGTCTACTTTCCAAAAAGTGGTCATTTGGGGGATATCTGTACTGTCCTGACAATTTTGCACCTCAAGAAATGAGAAATTGGCCGTCAGTACATCAGGACTGATCGATTTTCAGATTTATACCATAGTTTGTGGACTCTATAACTTTCCTACAGACTAAATATTAAACACAGATTTGGGTTACTTAAAGAAATGTAGTAGAATACATTTTGGCCTAAATGTATTGATTACTTATTTGCTAAATTTTATAGCAGAAACAGAGGAAAATTGTGGGGTTTTTTTTTCAAAATATTCGGTCTTTTTTAGTTTATTTAGCAAAAAGTAAAAATCCCAGCGGTGATTAAATATCACCAAAAGAAAGCTCTATTTGTGTGAAAAAATGATAAAAATTTAGTTTGAGCATGATGTTGCACGGCACGCTACTGTTATTCAAAGCATGCTTGAAAGCTGAAAAATGGCCTGGGCAGGAAGGGGGTAAAAGAACCCCGTATTGAAGTGGTTAAAGCCGTTCTGCCCTTATATAGGATTTGTAAAAAAAAATGTACCTGCAAAGAAGAAAGCATATACTGTACTGACCTGAATGTTGCTTTGAGATGTAACCTGATGTCTATTCAAAACTGGACACTTTTTGAGGTCATATTCTTGGTCTCCCTTTGCTCTGGTTCCTCCTACCAAACCCTATTTCTCATGTGCAGGCATCGGGAGAGGTAATATATGCCTCTTTGCAGGAACATCTTTGATTACAAGTTTTATGTATATGACATAGTCACTTTAACATTTTAGGTTACACAATATTGTTTTTTTCCCTAAAAATGGTAATTGCATGTTTATAAGACAGGCATTTTGCTTTGGGAGCAAATCAGCCAGACCTAACAGTATTTGAGTGGATCATCCACATCAGAGCTTGTTTTATCATATATCCACCTGTAGCTACTTACCTTTTTGGCAGAAGCAGTCTGCAATACAATGTTCATCACAACTAAGCTCTCTTTCAGGGTCAGAGCAGCTATTGCTGCAAGCGGGGCCACACTCTTCATATTGCATATTTTGGGCAAGACTTGGCTGGAATGAAACACAGTAAATTTGACATATTAATTAATAAATTGCCTAAAAACTCTTTTCAAAGTCTTCAGACATCTAAACTAGTAGTCTCTAAACTGTGGCCTTCAAGCCCTTTGCTTGCCATTATCCGGCCTTTGAAACACTATTCTTCCACTGATAAGAGGCACTATTCCTCCCACTGACACCAATGCTGAGGCACCATTCCTTTCACTGACACAAATGATGGTGTACTATTTCTTTTACTAACACCAACAATGGGGAACCATTCTTCTCACTGACACAAACAACGGGGCACTGGTATCCCCACTGACATCAACGGTGGGCACTATTCCTTCTGCCGAGACCATTGATTG